AAAAAAAAAAAAAAAAAAAAAAAAAATAACTATGTTTAACAGGTATGTATTTAAATATTTTATTTATTTGTATGTGTAAAATAATTACTTATTACACATAAATATATAATATGGTGTTGGTGTGTCGTCATGCTCTGCATTATGGGGCTTAAATAAGGGAATTCCAGTGAGCCGGTTTCATAAGTAAATGAAAATGGACAAAATCGTGTCAATGGTTATCATTCTGGATATCATGATTACCTATTGTTTGTTTTTAAACTTTCATGATGTCAAGGCGTTGACATTAATTCATATTTAACGCGTAGCTGAATACATCGTAGTTCCGTGCATTTACAAATAAAGTAATAATCAACGTATGCCGATCAAGTTTTATGACTTATCAATATTTAGTTATCATGGATTTAAGAGCATTTAATACGACCCAAAGCTCTTGCCATCAGTCACCATTTTCTCACAACTGCAGGTGTAGTTGGCCAATATTTGGTACCCACTGACTATTGGTGGTTTTATATTCTTTATTTCTTTCTATGCCGTCTTAACGATTTTTTTTTTTTAGTTTATTCAATAATAATTGGTCACTGATGAGTGATGACCTTCCCGATGAGTGTCAGTGAATATGTCACAAGCCAAAAGACTACCATACATACTAATAACTTAAGGTATATAGGTACTTATGAGTTACCAGCATTATGAGACATTTTAAAATGAAGTATCCAATTGCGTATTTTGTCACAAATATACCATTATTATTACCAATTAAAGTTTCATCTCAATGTGGCAATAAGAGATTAGATACGATTAATTTTGACATCTCGGGAAGGTGAAAACTTGCGTTCTAAATATAAATATTGTTATTTTCAACACTACTGTTCTAATGACCATTAAGAACTACAGCATTTATAAATTGTGTATTGTTTCAGTTTTAAATATAAACAGAGATATTAAAAAGATTGTTTTCAACAGAATATTTGATTTAAAGTTTAATAATGGTGTCATAAGTGTTGGTGTTCGGAGTGATACATAATTGCTGTGGTGTGTTCTGTGCACTTCACATCATTCGAATTCACAAATATCACAATAACCCGACTAACTTTAATCTAAAATGGAAAGACATACATTAATTTTTGAGTTGAGTATCGGCTACCTATGTTATTATATACTAGAAATATAATAGAAATAAATTGGGCTCCTAAAATCTGCTGTTATAGACAAATATATTAACGGTCCTGTACTTGTAAAGTGAATTTATTATATTAATTGTAAAAACTTAATCTTTCAATAAATACGACTAAATGAACAAGAACCATTTTTTTTTAAGACTTAGGTAGTTATTTTTCTTAGTATTGTAATTTTTAAACAGTGTTATGAATTAATTGGATTATTATATTTCATAGGATACATCCACACCAGAAGTAACAAGGTATCAAACATTATAAAAAATAGCTATACATTATTTTAGACGATTGAGTTAGAAACAATTACATAAATTTTCTGGTTAATAAATTGCATTATTTAAATTTAATAAAGGATAAATAAATTAAACTACTTGGCAATTATATATAATATAAGTAGTATATAATAGAGAGTTCAGAAGGCGTATCCCCTGATCCTTGCTGATCCTTGCTGATCCACTGATCCTTGCTGATCCACTGATCCTTGCTGATCCACTGATCCTTGCTGATCCACTGATCCTTGCTGATCCTTGAGCCACTGATCCTTGATTACGTACGTGTGTGACGTATATTTACCCCTCCACCTGAACCCGTCTACTCATCACGTGACCGATACATATTTTGTATATTTGCCCCTCCACCTGAACCCGTCTACTCATCACGTGACCGATACATATCTTGTATATTAACCCCCCATAACATTACATCATAACATATAATGAAATCACTAGCTTTCACGAAATTTAATTTTAGCTGTTAATGAATAACCGATCTATAATACAAAATATCTTAATCGTTTAACAACAAATTAAAATACCTATTAGTGAATAACATGTAATGGAATCACTAGCTTTCACGAAATTTACTTTTACATGTTTAGTATGATTTAAATACAATTATTTAATTATATTTTAAATATCATCAACTATATTATGAAAGTATTATATAGTTAAAATGAAACAATACTATTACTGTAACCAGCTATTAAAGATATCTAGATATTAATACTATAAAGCTACTCTATACAGTATACATAATTATATCATTAAGTATAACACCTACTTATCTTTTACATATTTAGTATAATACGAATACAATTATTTATTAATGTACAATATAATAACCCTTCTCACTTTTTCCATAAGCATATAAGCCACTAAGTGTACCCAAATCGAATCAGTCTGTTCCAGAGAGCTATACTCGTACTTTACCTTAGTTCTTTCATACAGTCATTTTTAATTTACTCAACGTTATTTAAAATCATCAGTGTTTTTAATTTTTACAAGTGTTTTTAATTTTTACAAGTGTTTTTATTTTTCAATATGGCCGGTCCAATTGTTGATATCAAAAAGAAGTCGTATACATACATTCCACCGACACCACCTGCATATCTTATGGAATCTACATCATATACATTAGACTTTACAGCACGTAAGTTTGTGCATATTGGTATCGATCCAACTGATGAATTTCAAACTGTTATACATTTAATCACTTCATCGAGACATATAAAATTAACAACAGATTTCCTAAGACGTATATTTGCTCTTATCGGTAATATATTATCATTTATATTAGAAACACCACGAACAAATAAACGAATAACTTTTCTCGAAACTGATTTATTTCTAATATCGAGTATGGTGTACAAGGGTGAAAACAATCTAGTTGTTGAATGTAAAAATAAAAGCGAATGCAGAGTTTTATTGAATCGTGCAGATTTGATTGAGCTAAATAAATTAGAATGGTGTATTTCAAAAACTATGATTCAAAAATCAATCATCCAAACCATTCTTCTTAATCAAATCGATGAGTATTGCGATTATCTAGAAGAAACTAGTTTACAAGATACCAAACCACCAAATACTGAACATGAAATGGAAGTATTCATAAAGTTGGGTACACCTTTAGAAAACACAACTACATCTCCTAACCTGACCTATCAAATCCAGATGTATGCACCTATGCAGTTACTTAGAATTTGGATAGATCGTAGAAGGGCACGAGACACACCTGAGGTAATGTGAAAAAAATATTATATCATTCATAAAAATATTTATTGTATTTTATTATTATTTTATAGTTATTTACCGAATCCGAAATGAGACTCATTTCACCTCCGAGATATTCGAGCTTGTCTCCAATGGACCTTTCACAAGCAAGGGTAATTTATAATTTATAAATTAAAAAAAAAAAATTATACAATTAATAATTATAATAATTATTTAGGTGGTTGACGAGGAATGCGGTATCAATGAATTTTTATCGCAAATCAATGCTACACAGGGGGCATGGACATCAATTCAGAAAACAAAATCTATACTGTGCATCATTGTCCGAATTACGTCTACAACGATTGTCTACGTCTGTTGGTGGGGATATACTGGTATGCTATACAAATAATATTATGTTAATATATATTTATCATAAAAGTTAAATGTGAGCATTACCATTGATTTTGTTTTCTGAATTGATGTCCATGCCCCCTGTCCCTGTGTAGGACTGATTTGCGATAAAAATTCATTGATACCGCATTCCTCGTCAACCACCTAAATAATTATTATAATTATTAATTGTATAATTTTTTTTTTTTAATTTATAAATTATAAATTACCCTTGCTTGTGAAAGGTCCATTGGAGACAAGCTCGAATATCTCGGAGGTGAAATGAGTCTCATTTCGGATTCGGTAAATAACTATAAAATAATAATAAAATACAATAAATATTTTTATGAATGATATAATATTTTTTTCACATTACCTCAGGTGTGTCTCGTGCCCTTCTACGATCTATCCAAATTCTAAGTAACTGCATAGGTGCATACATCTGGATTTGATAGGTCAGGTTAGGAGATGTAGTTGTGTTTTCTAAAGGTGTACCCAACTTTATGAATACTTCCATTTCATGTTCAGTATTTGGTGGTTTGGTATCTTGTAAACTAGTTTCTTCTAGATAATCGCAATACTCATCGATTTGATTAAGAAGAATGGTTTGGATGATTGATTTTTGAATCATAGTTTTTGAAATACACCATTCTAATTTATTTAGCTCAATCAAATCTGCACGATTCAATAAAACTCTGCATTCGCTTTTATTTTTACATTCAACAACTAGATTGTTTTCACCCTTGTACACCATACTCGATATTAGAAATAAATCAGTTTCGAGAAAAGTTATTCGTTTATTTGTTCGTGGTGTTTCTAATATAAATGATAATATATTACCGATAAGAGCAAATATACGTCTTAGGAAATCTGTTGTTAATTTTATATGTCTCGATGAAGTGATTAAATGTATAACAGTTTGAAATTCATCAGTTGGATCGATACCAATATGCACAAACTTACGTGCTGTAAAGTCTAATGTATATGATGTAGATTCCATAAGATATGCAGGTGGTGTCGGTGGAATGTATGTATACGACTTCTTTTTGATATCAACAATTGGACCGGCCATATTGAAAAATAAAAACACTTGTAAAAATTAAAAACACTTGTAAAAATTAAAAACACTGATGATTTTAAATAACGTTGAGTAAATTAAAAATGACTGTATGAAAGAACTAAGGTAAAGTACGAGTATAGCTCTCTGGAACAGACTGATTCGATTTGGGTACACTTAGTGGCTTATATGCTTATGGAAAAAGTGAGAAGGGTTATTATATTGTACATTAATAAATAATTGTATTCGTATTATACTAAATATGTAAAAGATAAGTAGGTGTTATACTTAATGATATAATTATGTATACTGTATAGAGTAGCTTTATAGTATTAATATCTAGATATCTTTAATAGCTGGTTACAGTAATAGTATTGTTTCATTTTAACTATATAATACTTTCATAATATAGTTGATGATATTTAAAATATAATTAAATAATTGTATTTAAATCATACTAAACATGTAAAAGTAAATTTCGTGAAAGCTAGTGATTCCATTACATGTTATTCACTAATAGGTATTTTAATTTGTTGTTAAACGATTAAGATATTTTGTATTATAGATCGGTTATTCATTAACAGCTAAAATTAAATTTCGTGAAAGCTAGTGATTTCATTATATGTTATGATGTAATGTTATGGGGGGTTAATATACAAGATATGTATCGGTCACGTGATGAGTAGACGGGTTCAGGTGGAGGGGTAAATATACAAAATATGTATCGGTCACGTGATGAGTAGACGGGTTCAGGTAGAGGGGCAAATATACAAAATATGTATCGGTCACGTGATGAGTAGACGGGTTCAGGTGGAGGGGTAAATATACGTCACACACGTACGTAATCAAGGATCAGTGGCTCAAGGATCAGCAAGGATCAGTGGATCAGCAAGGATCAGTGGATCAGCAAGGATCAGCAAGGATCAGGGGATACGCCTTCTGAACTCTCTATTATATACTACTAATATAATATAAAAATGTAATGTTTTAAAAATAAATCATAGGTTTAACTATGAACTATCTATAAAAGGTATTAAAACAGAAAGAAATTTTTTAATGGAATGTTTTTGGGAGGAAACTTTGAACATAATATAATCATTAGGAAAAATCATAACTAAAGAACCAAAATCATCATTGTTGTTGTTCATGAAATCATATAAGAAGATGTTTGTCGATTGTTCGAAATAAAAACATAATCAATGGTCAATGCACATATATGTTGTCAAATATCGGGTATCGATTTGTTGCCATGTAGGTACATAATATTATGGAGGTAAAAATGTCGGATGACAGCGCTACAAGAGCATGGACCGAAGGTGCACATTTTAACTTTAATGATAGTCATATAATATTATGATATACTATGTACATCCGGTCACTGCCCTGCGCCAACTGGATGCATAATAATATATTCACATGTCATGTCCCGTCTTCTGCCTTGACCAAGTGTGCGTCCAAAAGCCATGTCACTATGTCGCGACAGCCGTTTTTTTTATATCATCACGAATTATTTTATTAATTACACTGACGGTTTATGACAGTTTTTGTTACATGTCCTCCTTAGCCGTAAGTGTCATCTTGATTTCAATGTACATATACGTATTTTGTTGTGGCACATTCCGCCTTGAGTGTTACTGTCGAATTTATACATTTTATCATCTTGTATGTGGCATGTCACGTTTGTTTGCGTTTCCATATCGCTGTGTTCTTGCACGCCGCTGTTATGCAATGACAAGTAATCCGTCTTTTTCCGTCCACACATCTTGTATACCATGGTTTAGTGGTATACTACTGTCGTGTTGCGTTTTCGTCCTTTGTCGAGTCGGTAACGGTGTAACAGGATAGTCATGGTATCGGCCCACTGAGTTTCATTAAATTATATATTTCTATACTCATGTATATACTCATTTCTCATTATCATAAAAAGAACAAGTTACCACTTAACACTCATGACTGGCCCATATTTTGAGTGGCCCACCGAGATTTCCTGGGCAGCTTGCCGATCCGACCATTGCCTGAATTGTTGAATGTCATACAATATATTCTTCTGATGTATCCCGGGCGTTTTGTTTCATTCGAGGGTGTCAGCCTAATATCTGCCCGCGGATCACGATACATATTGTTACATACAACATATTACATTCAATTCTTTAAATATTGGTTAGTGGTTACATAAACGATAAACAAATTATTATATTACTACGAGGCATTCCTTGCTTCTGCGACGAACCGCGCGTTTTTGTTACCATATTTTTGAGGGACACACTACACGCTCTTTGCTGACCGCGATTGGATGACTGTGTTATTATATATTTATTATATTAATATAGTGATCCGTCCGACGTTAGATTATAATATAATATCACACATGCAGACATGCAGTAGAAAGTGCAATCTTGGATTATTTACGCTTGCTCTTATTCTGTGTATTACAACGTGCCTTAGGTAAAAGCGGATCCAAGTCCCTCACTGGCATAGGCGTAACTCTATTCACGTAGGGGCAAAAATAATTTTTGAGAATCTCTACACATTTTCATAATCTTATTTAAATTTAATATATATTATAAAACTGTTTTCATTTTCATTTAACACATTTTAAGCAAACATTTAGATAAAGGTTAGCTCATTAACAACAATTAACTTCAGCTACTCTTGACAGTTGATGTACAAAAACTTACTATTTTATAAAACTAAATTATACAATAATCCCACAAATAAATAAATAAATATTACAAATAAAACATTTAAAAAAAAATAACAAACAAATTTTGTATTTTTTTGAACTTAATATTTTTATATTATAATTAAGTTAATTGCAATTATTCTTATTCATAGATATAAACAATAAAATAAAATATGAAATTCTTAAAATATTATTTAAGAAATCAATTTCCATTTTCAATTTGCTAAAATATTTATTTTTAAATAAAATTTCCCTGGGTGATTGATTTACCCCACTTATAAATTAAATTATATCATTTCACTGTCCAGCAAGTTGTCCATATTATTCTATTGATAAATATCTGATCTTTAATTACTGTACATAGTTTGTTGGCTAATATTTTTACTTTTACTTAACTCTTTATAGGATATAGATGATTTTTATTTATTATCTTTTTGATATGCCAACAAAATAATTTTTTTTTTAAATTATTTAAATTGAAATTTCATCTATTAAAACTTAATAATGGAAATTGTGACTACTTGGATAATGGATATTTCCATTCTTATAAATAATTATTTTGTATTCAAACCTAGTTTACTAACTTAAGACTTATATTATGTTTGAACTAGAATTAAGTGATTTGATTTAATTTTGTATAATTATGATAAGAAACAACTCATCGAATAATGGATTAATGATTCCACAGATTTAATTTTTTGGGGGTCACAAACAAATGAACAATTTGACTTATGATTCTTATGATCAAAATATTCACTGAATCAGTTCATCAAAGTAAACATGTCCTATCTTACTTAACATTGTATTCTTCAGTTCACACATCCATATAATACTGCAAACCTTAACTAAAAAATATATATATTTATATTTTCAATTTCAGCTATATAATTTTTTTTTAATAGAGATATAAAATCACATTTTTTTAATAATTTATCCATTATTTATGTATCTATATCGTGTAACTAATGTACCTACTACCTTAAACATAAAATGTATACAGATTTTAACAAGTAAATACAATTTTTAAATGTTATAAGGGTTATAAGTTTGAAAAAATTTACAATTGATATTAGTTTATGTACGGTTTGGAAACTGCCTTTAAAACAAAAAATATTATGAATAATTGTTGTTGAACATATAAGGATATAAGGAAAAACATTAAACCGTATTCAGCATTAATAGTTACATCTTAATGTTATTGGAAATGCATATCACTTGGATCATGTGTTAGTGTGTTACTATATCAGCATGGTACGATGTGGGATGTCACATGTGACTTACTATTTTGGTACTTAATTTAACAACTTTTTTGGCATTAACTAATTCAAATTGGTCTAGTAAATTCATGTGTACCTAACTAACAAACCTAAAATGTTCATGATTTTTTTTTTTTAAATACTACCTATTTTAAGAAATACCCACAGCGACCTCTGCAAAGTATAAACTATACTTGTAGTACTTCATTAGTAGGGTAAGTTTTTAAAATATAAAACAATAAATATAGGTAGGTACAAGGGAAGCGATACATTTTTTTCCCCCGTCACTTACCTTTATGTGAGAGCCTTGGTTAGGTACCTAAACGGCTGTATACATATTATAATATTTATTACACTATAGTGTAGTTGTTTAATATGACCACACAATTTTTTCACAATTGAATCTAGCAAATACATCGGTGACTGCACACTATTATAGAATAATATTGTTTAATAAAATATTAATGCCGAGCCCAGAGAGAATATTATAGGCAAGACACGATTAATGTATCCATTTTTTTTATTACTTCAGTAAATTTCAAAGCCTAATTTTGAATTGTTTTCAAGTCTCGACACTTCTAGAGTTTTATGTTAAGTTATAGTTAAACCGTTAAGACTAAAAACAATATTGTTAGATGCCGGACGTAAAAATTGACTCGCGACAGAAGTGTATCTAAAAATGTAAAGGGTGTTCTGCATTGTATAGATTTAAACACACCATATAATATTCTGTTTAGAATTTGAAATAAAAAATGTATCCAAAGAAATCAAAAACTCGAAAACTGATGACAATATATTATATTATAATACCTATCATCTATGGCAAAAGCCGATCGTCGTCACTGTCTCGCCGGAGACGATTCGCAACTCTAATAATTTCATTGAGAAATGTGTATGGCAACAATAAACATTTACTCACATATTTCATTCTACTCAAGTAATTTTTATAAAAAATCTCGATTTTTTTCAATTCAGATTTAGATGAAGGAAGAAGTTCCTCGATATGGCGTCTGATGCAATCAAGATATGGCGCCTTGCAGCTATATATTACCCGAAGAGTCGATGTATACGTAAGTTTGATTACTTATTCTTTTGGG